TACAATCGCTTATTCTTCCGCCGCACAATACTCAGTTTATGACATTGGAATGTCACAGATTGATTATTGTGACTATCGAAATCTTTAAAATAATTAGCCTGTGATAAATTATTGAATTATTGTAAATGAAATTATTATAAATAGTTGAAAAAGAAAGTCCTTTCAAAGCATTTAGATAAGGCTTTTTATAATTATCAGCTAAGAGAATATCAGTGCTTTTGTGAAACTTCAAATCTTCACTCTTTGGCATCTTTCCTCATCCTTAATATCGAAAAATGATGGAGTAACTTGAAATAAGCCAACTCTTTGCTGGTGATTATTGTTTAGTGTACATGAGTTCTATTTATGGAATTTTTTGAAAATTCTGAGGGAAAATGACAGATGATTGAATTGAAGTTGTAAATTCTTGTAAGACTGATAGAGGTAGGAGGAAATGCAAATGCTATTTGTTGTTTCAGGAATTTCTTCAGGTTAATTTTCTCAAAAATTTCCTGGAAGCGAAATTAATCAAAATTTGAAATATCATGATTGATCAGCATCCTCTAATTACTGGAATAATAATATTACGATATTTTCAGTCGTTTTATTTACTCTTGATCATTTTCAGCAGTTTTTTGTTACTATAAGCTGGATGCATAGCAAAGTAAATGTTGTTTAAAAAAAAAAATGAGTTAAATTGAATGAAACGCAAAATTGGGCGTCAAAAAAATTGTATCAATATTTAGTGAAAATTATATGAGATGATAAGAGATATATTTAAATCAGGAAGTTTGACGAGAATACGAATGCCGTGATCTTCTATTATCTTCATCTTTTCCCCCTTAAACATTAGCGCCAAATATGCTAACCAGGGATGCTATTAATTGTAAATAGCGGTGCGTTTATGAATAAGTTACTTCAGTGTGGGATAGTATGGATGGACAACTTTTAGCTTTAATGGCTCAAACCGTGGTAAGTTTAACCTTCGAAATTTAGGTTTTTTTTTTTTTCTTGCTTGAATCAGTAAGATAAAATATGAAAAAGAGATGGAAATGACGATTTGTTATCAGATGAGAACAGTTAAAATCGGATAATTGGGAATCAATGAACTGATCTTACCTTAATTAAAAGTCAATTAATGTTGCTTACATCCTTCGGACAATTGGAAATCAATTGATTGATCCTACCCAATTGGAAATCAATTAATGCTTACATCTTTCGGATAATTGGAAATCAATTGGTTGATCCTACTTTAATTGGAAATCAATTAATGCTTACATCTTTCTCTCACTTTAGTTGCTACAAATCGATTGAAAATGCTCAGTAGCAGTTGGATTCTTCTTATTTATTATTCAAAGACAATTGTGAAGTAAAAAATTCAAATGATACATTTAGTAAAGGAAAGAATGTCTTGCAATCAATAAAAAAATTCTGAATCACCTGAAATGATGCATAAAATACAGTGATCAAATCATTTTAATTGCTAATTGTATTTTCATTGTTTATTTTCTATTAGCTCTTATTAAGCTCTTATTATGCAATTTTAGGCTGTTTTAGCAATGATTATGATGCATTTGTGGTTTGAGCCTACAGATGTGAATGAAATGAAAGATAATGGAGTGGATTCAGATGGCAACAAAGATAGCAATTCTAGCAGAGATAGTAATGAATCAACGGATAACAGAGTGAATGAAGAAGATATTGATGAATGCAAAGATGAAAGACGGAAGAGAATTTACATGGAAGAAATATGGGAAATGATTAGGGAACAGAAAAATATCAAAGGAATGAAAGATATGAATAAAAAATTGGAAATGAAATTGAAGGATGCACGTGAAATGAAACTTTTACGTAAGATTACTACAAATTCTGAACGACAAATGGCAGCTATTTGTAAGGGTGCACAAAATCAATGGTTTGGTGTAATTGAAGCTTGCAAGCATAGTATTTATGTGAATAATGTATAGTTAAAATTTATTTGTTAAATTGTTTAAAAATTTAGCATCCTATATTTATTATTAGTTTTAAAACTTTTAGCTATAGCTTTTATTGGTACTGGACTAATCTTGTCTCATAATCTTCATTCAAGCTTTATTCTTTTACTAATGTTTAAACAAAAAAAAAAAAATTCTCATTTTTATAACTTTTTTTTTTGGCTTACATTAGTTTGCTCAAAAAAAAAACGCTAATAATCAATGCAATCATTAATTGCTAAATGATATGAATTAAAATTGAACTTCTGCGAAATTTATGCTAATAACTTATGTCAAATGTGTCATTTAATATTTTGGAATAATCTTATCAACAACTCACAATTGAAATAAATTTAGTTTAAACAGCATATTAAATTTTTTTTTATCATTATTGCTAATCATGGAATAACTGATAATTTTCAGCTTAATCTACGGACAAGCATAAAAGAATTGAGGGATCATTTTGCAAGTTGTGGCACTATTACTATTGTTGAATTTTGTAGAGATACAGTTAATTGTCGTTTTATCGGGTAAATTATTATTGTTTATTGGAATTTTTATGTCTTCCCAAGTTATCCTAAATTATCTGTTACATTTATGAACAAATCACTGATCATAATGATCTGTTAAATCTGTTACTTAATGATCTGTTAAAGAAAAATGGATATTTCATTTTAATACATGTGTCATAACTTCACTAAATGAATGTAAAAGCTTAAAAGAGCTTTCAAATTGGTTAAATTTCAACAAATGTGAAAGGCGTATTTCGAAATTTTAACTAAATTTACTGATGATGATCAGTTATTTATTTTTCAGGATGAACTCTGCTCGGATAGAATTCATTGATATATCTGCTAAATTAAAAGCAATGGATCTTACAGGCACAATTTTAAAGGGTAATAAAATCGATGTTAGTTTTTTTTTTTTTTTCTTTGAAAAGTAATTTCAAAATTAAATGCTATGAAATAGCAAAATATCGAGATATGTTTTTATTCTCCGTCATTCTTGACCCGGCTACTAGTGAATATTTTTTTAGAGGTCATTAAAAACAACAATTATTGAACCAAACAAGAATTTCTAAACCTTATTGTCAGTAATAATAATGAAAAGAAGAGGAACAGTATTTCTGTTTGTACTTAATTTAAGAAAAGAAATTAATTTGAGATTTATGGCATAAAGAAAATAATGATTGATTGATTGATTTATTTGGCGCAGGTATGAAAAATGAATTTAATACGAATACAACCGATGTGTACAAATTTATTGCAAAATTTTTAATAGGTAACAAATGTTCCTGCTCCAATAGCGCGTTTTCGAAGTAATCACTTATGCTACAGGTGGTTTAACAATCATCAGTACTAAAAAGGTATAATGCTTTTTTTTTTTGACAGGTTTTCAAGAATTCATTGCAAAGATCAGGTTTATCGTATATCAACATTTGACAGTTTTCATAATTCATAGCCAAAAATTTGAAGGTATTAGCTGCTACAGATTCTTTGGATATCGTATCGCAACAATGCAAATTTATATTTTATAGCTTTCAAATTTTAGCATTGCTTATTCGAAATAAATTTGCATATGATTCTGCTAATACAACGAAGTACTCATTTGGATGAAGTTTTCAATTCAAATAATCGTAAAACGAGACAAAACAGAAAATGACCGATATAATTTTGCAAAATTCTTTTTTGCTCGTCTCTTCTGTATTTTTAATGGATATTACGCGATTTAAGAAAATTTGAAACTGCACAATGCATGCATGACCCTTCTAATTTCCATTATCAGAAATCTACCATTTAAAAATTTACATCAAATCGGAATTGCTAGTTTGCGCAAATTTCGGCAGTATCACCTATTACTCTATGATATGATCATTGAAATTACAATTTACATTTGTTTAAATTATTTCATGCAACACAATAGATATTATTGCCTATTCATTATTTCCTTTTTTTTTTTTTTGCAAAATTCGATTTTTAAATTTTGCAAATTATAATTACATTTTAATTATTTTTATTATTCTTTCTTCACTCTAAATATTATTGACAATTTTTCAATTTAACTAGATTGGATTTGAAGGTATCTGCTTGCTTGATATTTTATCACGTGATTTTACAATAGCTACGATTTTGCTGTTGAAAATTTTTGGGGAGCACACATTGGTGATCCAAATTTTTAAATAAAATTGAATTCTATAAAATTTCGAATTTTAATTTCATTTTTGAACAGCATTTCTCATTAATTTCCATTGTGAGGAAAAAAAAAGAGAGAAAGGAGAAATATTTATGTTGAGTAAGAAATACAAATTAGGATCAGCAGTGAAAATATGTGCGATTTTTTTTTTTTTTTGATGGAAATATTAGGACCAACGAGATTTGCTAATGAAAATTCAATCAATTAGTTTCAAATAGAATTTTTTTTCGTGTTTATAAGTTTTGATATTGCACGATTAATTCATCACAGTATTTTATTCCTTTCATTTCTTGTTTATTTTCAAAACAAAATTATAGATTTAAAATTTATAAAATAAAAGTTGAAAAATTAGCATGTCGCAAATACATAAAGCACTTACCGCTGGAAATGGTTTACAATTGCATTTGTAGGACATATAACCGTTATTTAATGGTTACATATCGTTGATAAGCCTATCTTTTATGTCAATGATATCAAATATAATTAATTCTAAAAGTAATGAAACGATTAGCAAATGATAAAAACATTCAGCAAGCAGGCTTCAATTACGAAATAAATGATTGTTTATTCAAATAGACCGAGAATTAATTTAATTTTTTAGAATGTTACTTCCAAGTTTCTTAACAGTACTAGTCTCTACCAATTATCGATTTATTCGATTTTTTTAATCAGTTCAATAAGATCACAATTCTTAGCAAAGCATAGAAATATAATTAGAAATGGCTGATTGCATTAACGATAATTATACAAAACACAATTATATTGGATGACAAAAATTATTCTAATTTGGATCGTCAGAATTGCATGAATTATTGCAAAACTTTGGAATATACTCGTTGCAAAATTAGTACTATAAAATTATAGCAACAAAATGACGGGAACTACTTTTATAGTATCTATTTGCTAAAAGATTCTGAAATAAGTTTTTTGCAAAAAAAAAAAAAAAATGTCAGTTCAAGTGCATATACTATAAGCTATCGTACAAATTCAGGTGATAATGAACCATTGAAAAGATTTGATATGTAACAGATGATAATGCACAAGAAGAAAAAAAAATTTGAACGATTCATTTTTTTTTCTTCATTCTCGATCTTTCAAAAATTTTTCCTAAACATTGCAAAAAAAGCATCATCATTGTGTTTGCTTTTATTTCTTTGTTACAAAACTAAAAAAAAAAAAAAACTTTTTATATCACAAAAAATAAAGCCAACAAAGCATTAAAAATTTTTAAAGCCAAGAAACATTTTGACATTAATTTCGAAAAGAAAATTGAAAGAAAAATTGAGAAGAAAAAAATGGAGAAAAAAAAAATGAAAAATGGCACAATGAAGAGTGTCAATTCAATAACACATTTCGTATTTTGAGTTGAATTTTTAAAAATTTTTAAACAAAAAAAAGCTTTCTTTTTTGATGCATTGCGAAAATGTTTGAAACAATTTTATGTTTAAATTCCATTTTCAAATGTGTTTACATTCGTTCTAAATTTTCACCTCATTACAACTTTTTTCACAAATATTCATTAGGATTCGAAATTGAAATTTCGAGCTGCACTAAAATCAATCGTATTTAAATTTGAGATTCAACATTCCTCTTGAATTCAAGATTTCTCTTCTCCCACTTACGCTCCCATTTTAGTACCCTTTTTAATTTATTTTCATGCTAAGCTGTCCCTAAAGATTGTAAAATAGCAGATGTACGAAAAGCATGTAATTAATTAACGTGCATTTTACAGTTCATTCATGTAAATTGCTCAGAGAGGTGTCATTTTATTTTTAGACCTTAAAAAAAAATATGATCAAACATTGGCATCAAAGAGGAGATGAATTGCATATGCATTAATTTGAATTTAACGAAAAATTAATTTGAATTTATTTTTGAAATTTTATGATCAATCATAGGATGTTAAATGTAAGGATAGTTCACACTTCATTACAAATGTGCAGTGTTTTTTTTTCTTTAAAATTTGATTATATCATTAAAACTAATATCTTCAGTTGAATTATGAAATTTAAATGCTTAAAAAAAATGTTTTATGAAAAAATAAATCCAAGGAATATGAGAAAATACGGAAGTGAAATTAGTCACTTCGAGAAGATTGATCATTTTCGAATAATTATTTTGATGGCATGACTCTCAACTGATTACAGTCTATATTTTTCTTAAGCCTAACAGCTGAACTTTGAAATTTAACCAGAATGTCTTCAATTAAATTCATTCAGTCAACAACACAACAAAGGATCAGTTATCATATCACTAATCATTTGCTACTGCACAAAATAGAATGCTGCAGAATTGCAAGTGGTAGAAATTGCTTAGGAAATCAGCTTTATGTTTTTTTTTTTTTTTTTTTTTAAATTCTTACGTTATTTCGAGTATATCGAAAGTTTGGATTTTGATTTCTTTTTTATTCTAGTTAAATTTAAAAAAAAAATGGAAATGCATATTGCGATAACTCTCTAAAGATTTCTCTTCTTCTCCTTCTTTCATTCCCTAAATTTTATGGTGCATTTCAATCACTTAAAATGAGAGGACAATTTTTATTGCTACTTTTACACTTCTTCCTTCAAATATACATATTTTTCTCTAAAGCTTTCATTTAATAGGATTTTTCTTTTTTTTTCTTTTTTTTTTTTGGAATAATGACGGATAGTTTCGCAGTTTTGCATTTTTTTTTTCCATTACGTTTTTTTTTTTTTTTTTAACTCACAATTTTATTATAATTTATCCATTTACTCAAAATAAATAGTAAAATGACAATTAGTATTTTAAACAAAACATATGAATCAAATCAATCAATTTAA